TCCTTTAGTTGCTATAAAGGTCGTCCACAAGTAAATAATCTCACGAAGAAGTAAAATTAAATAACTTTGCATTCTCTACAATTTGTAAATTTGTGAAAATATTTCGTAATCAAACAAGCAGTGTGAAGCAACTAAAAACAAATAATTTATCATCACTCACCTTTTTTTTGGGGTTCAAATCATCATCACTCACCTACTAGTCAATATTTAGATTGCGAAAAAATTCGTACGAATTTGACTGAAGATCACGTGTCTTTTATCTTTAGGTCGTACTGAACTTCTTTATAATTATTTTCTATTCCTATTCTCCAACTTTTATTTCTCCATGCGTCAGTCAATGTTACTCCATTATCTTTCTTTCTAGTGTATAATATTCAGAATTTGCAGCTTCACTATATATAATTTGTAGCGTGTTGAGAAAACAATCATTGAGAATAATCTCTTAACCTTGATTAGTTGAGCAATTTTTAGTTTGCTTTCTTCTTCTCTTGTCAACGTCACTTAGTTTGCCTTTACAATAGTAATATGTATTAACTAGATTTTTTGACGCGGAATTAGAATATTTGAAACTAAAAAATCATAATATTTTATAATATACGGGAGAAATTAAAAACACAAATATCAAATGGTATATCTTCCATATAGATAAATATATTTTATTTTACAAAATTTAATATGCATGACACTTATATTGAATATAAGCGTTTTTTAAAGTAAATATAATATGTTTGAGATTATGAGTTCTCTCGAACTTATTTAAGCTTATCGAATCCAAAAAAAGTATCGCGTTAGTATATAAATCTTTTTAAATTAAAAATCAAAGAAATAATAAAAGGTGAAAATTATGATTTTCGAAATTCAAGCATTAATATTTGATTTGTAACGTTGTACGTTTATAACAAAATCGCAACTTTAATTAGAGTAATATGGATGCAATTAAACGATATAAAAATAATAATTATATGATCAATCATATATGGTATCCAAATGGACATAAATACAATTTTTATAAAGTAATTGACATCAGTAAATGATTCATCGTTAAAAAATTATGTTATATAACGTTTAAAATATTAAATTTTTTTATTTTAGTTAGATTTTAAAATTAGTCACATACATATTTGTGAGTTTATGCTAAAAAATTAATGTAACTATGTAGAGATTTCCGACATAGCATATAAAATTAGTTGAAATGTTTTGATTGGTTAATTTAATTGATGTGTCCATTAAAATCTTCATTGAGTGACACATAAGATTTTTTCATTTAGTGCCTCCTCAATTAATATATAGAAGATATTATAGAAGTGATTAATCAGTTATATGCATGAATGGAGTTATACAAACAGAAAGCACATCATTCATGTATTTTATTATCCAGCACCAAGGTAAATCAGTAGAACATAGCCAAATTTCATCTTTCTATCAAGAGTTCAAGCATAATGCATGCATGATTAAAACAAAAAAATACCAAGGTAAATTTGATAATCTTCACTTGTCTTACGTTTTTACATGGCTTCCTTATTTAATACTGTATAGCAGAAAGTGGGTCATTAATGTCAACCCAATTTAATATAGGGATACTTTGTCCAATAATTTTAAAAAAAAAAGATTTAAGCAAATAATCAAAATTCTCTTACGTGACACAATCACAACCATTAGATTTAGGGTTTTTGGTTATTTACTTATATATATATATTGGTTATTTGTTAAATTGACCCTTTAATATAGTACTGCAAGTGACAATAACTGATTACTAAGATCATCTCCAAACCAAAACTCCATTTTTTACTCTAAAATAGAGTAACTCTAAAATAGTGTTGTGTTTTACTCCAACCCTATTCTATCCTCTATATATTAATTGAGGAGACACTAAGGTGAAAAATCTTATGTGTCACTCAATGAAGATTTTAAGGAACATGTCATTAAAATTAATCAATAAGAACATTTCAATTAAATCTATATGTCATGGTGAAAATATCTACATATTCTTATTAGTTTTATAACATAAACCTACTAATACATATTTTACAATTCTAAGTTCACCTAAATGTAATATTTAGAATTACCATATCATCTATTTTTAATTTTTTGTTACATTAAGAAACTTTTTGTTATATTTGTAACAATATTATTTATTTTGTATATACGTATTTAGATTAATATAATTTTTTCTCAACCGTATTTAGACTAATATAATATATACAAATATTTTAATTGTGATAATAAATTATATATATTTAACTACACTTACAAATATTTACACATTTTATTATTGAAAATATACATACTGTTTTTCATTTGTCATATTCGACAAATTCATATAAATCTAAAATTATATGATTTATCGCATGCTCTATTATTTACACGAATAATAAAAAGCAGTTTTACATTTAAAATATATCAAAATAAATAACATTTGCATATGTTTTGATCAATTTTGCACATAAAAATATTTATATGTTGTACGTTTATAAATATCATGTTGTACGTTTATAAATATTAAAAATCATATGATTTGTCGTACACGTTTAAATTTTAAAATCGACTAAAAACATATTTAATCATTTAATCCCACACTTGCCGTGGATCAAAATCTAGTTTTGGAGTAAACAATGGAGGGAAAACAAAAATATGGAGTAAGAAATGGAGTTACTCCATAGTTGGAGTAGACCTACGTTTTAATATATTTTGGAGATAGAGATGGAGTGGGTTGGAGAAAATTTGACTGCAAACTCTATTTTAGAGTAAAAACTGGAGTGGGGTTGGAGATGCCATAAACCAGCATGATCATAGAGTAGTTCAAGAACTTTGAACAAAAAATATATGAATTTATACATAAATTTTTTGGAATTTTATTTATGGGAAGAAAAGTTATTTACATATCTAGCTAGAGAATTAAAAAAAAAAAAAAGGACAAGAACAACACTCGCAGAAGAGATATGGAGTCTGTACTCCAAATCTGATGATGACTTTGATGTGCTATATATTCTGAAGCAGAGAAATTTCTATCTTTAGAATACTAGACATCATCTATTTTTATCCTGATTTACTAAAGAAACATTTTTCTAACCCTGAACTTTAATTTAGCAAAAGTAAAGTTTGAAAATACAAAAGGCCATCAATTTTCCACGTTCCCATCGATCTATTCACACTGCTCCAGTACTTCAGGCTGATTATTTCTGGTATAAAAATAGTAAACGGTTTTCGTCCGTAAACGGTTTTCGTCCAATTATTGTTTTAGATTTAAGATGGGATTTTTTTTGGCAAATTCTTATTCAACAGCAACCGTTATTA